GCAGACTTGAAAGTGCTTTTAAACTCTTCGGGGATTATTATTTCATGAAGAGAGGAGGAAGCAACGGTGTTTGGCGACCAACAGTAAAGGCTGATGTCGGGGGCTGGGGGGCGGGGAGGTGACGGATGGGGCTGAGATCCCAGCAGGTCCTTCTAGGAAGAGTCAACAGTCAGTGGTGACAGTGGCCGAGAGCTCTTGGATGCGCCAGGCACTGCAAGCCTTGCACAGGATGTGCCCGTCCAGCGGGTAGCAGCCCTGACACTCACCCTCGGAGGACAGCAGCAGCCCACACTCCTGTGGAGAGAAACCGCGCCTTCCCGTCAGTCTAAGTGCTCCCTGTCTTTTCCCTTACTGTTCTCCCGCAGCCTCCCGGGCTCCGCAGAGCCCTTGCTCCTGGTCCAGGGACCCCCCCCACCTCACCTCACACTTGTAACAGCCAATGTGGAAACTTCGATCCAGAGCAACGATTCTCACCGTCTCCTCCTGACCTGGTTCTGGCATGATGGCCCCACCACACACTGAGCACCGTGGGGCAAATTTCCTGAGGTGGAAGGGAACCAAGGAGGCTCTCAGGTCCCTCCCTCCCCACAGGAGGCTCACAGTGCAGCCCAGTGAAGGAGGAAAGGGGGAGGGAAACGAGAAGGACTGGAGAGATGGCTTTGGGGTCTTGGGGGAGAAAGTGATGTCAAAGCAGGAGAGGACCAGAAGTTAGGCAGGCGTGAAGACACAGGCTAGGTCCAATATTCTGAGTTAAGGCAAGACCTGTGGAAATCCTCAATGCAGTGGATCTGGCTGGTGGCATCCACGGTGAAAGGGATGCCATCGAGGCCACGGTGACACACCACACAGGTGAAGCATCCAGGGTGGTAAGCCTTCCCCATAGCCCTCAGGATTCGGTCTAGGATGGGTTCAGAGCACGTGGAACACTTCTCCAAGGTGGCCTCATGGGAGAGAGAGGAAGGAGGGTCAGAGAGGGAAGCCACAGCAGACAGGAAGGCACACTGGTCTCCCACCCGTCCGGAGTGCGGAGTTCCCTGCACAGGAGTCAGTGGGAGGTGGTCTCGGCACGTCAGCATTGCAGCTTCTAGACAAGGAATTTAGCCTCCATACACTTCCTTTTCCGGTTAGATGAGTCAACAGTAATAATGCCTGCCTCTGAGGAATGTTGTCAGACTTTCACAAATTACCTCAACTCTAAAATGCCTTCTAGCTGGGCATGGTGGTGACTGGCACACATCTGTTTGTCTAGCTCTTGGGAGGCTGAGGCAGGAGGCCCATGACTTCAGGGCCAGCCTGGGCTACATAGTGAGACTTGGCCTGGAAGGAAGGAAAGAAGGAAAGAAGGAAGGAAGGCAGGAAGGCAGGCCGGCCTCCCACTTGAAAGGAACAGCTGTTCTCTGCCTCCCCTCTCCCCTTCAGCTAGAATCCACATTTAACTCCTTGGTCTGGGGGCTGTAGCTCAGTTGGTAAGATGTTTGCTTAGCATGCACGAAGCCCTGGGTTCCATTCCCAGCACCACAAAGAACAGATCTGGTGGGACACACCTGGAATCTCCATACCCCGCAGACAGAAGCAGGAAATGCAAAGTCTTCCTTAGCTATACATAAGAGTTTCAGGCCAGCCTGGGATACATACTGCCCCCAAAACAACTAACAAGCAATCAAAGAAACAAAACCCCAAATCTTTTGGTTGATGGACCAACTGATCTTTGGAAACATGTGCGCCAGGCTGGCTTCAAACCCGCTTTGTAGCTGAGGCTGGCCTCAAACTCCTGATCATCTCTCCTCCAGATAGGCCAGGGCCACCACCACGTCCAGCTCCTTCCTTCTTGTAACTCAGCTTGAGTCCCCAGCTTCAAGCCCCCTCTGTCTTCTGCCCATCTGACTGAGCATCTGTCGCTCTCTTGGATGGGAACCCGTCTGCGCCCATCCTGATGCGTGGTTTACCCCGCTCTCCCCCAGCCCAACCACTCACCACATAGCAGCTCTCACAGTACGCCCTCCTCTCCACAGCATAGAAATGCTGGCCCCGGAGCTGGGCCCGACAGGTGGAACACACAAAACAACCAATATGGAAGACACGGTCCAGGGCCACAACCCCAGCCCCATCGCCAACGACGTCTTCCCCACAGCCACCACACCGACCTGAGGATTGAGAGCAACAGATCCGTCTGCACGGACCCACGACACCGGACCCACCGTCTCCTCCTCCGTCTCCTCCCAGCCTACCCACCGGGCCAGCTCACCAAAGTACTCCCCGCTGGGCGGGTGGCTCATGTCATGCACCAGTTTCTTGGTCAGTCTCTCTAGTTCCTCTTCGGGAGGCTGGCTTAAGGGGACCTACAGTGAGAACCAGGGCTTTGTGGTCCGGCCTAGCCTCTGACTGACAGATACCATCAATAATCCGTAAGGTCAGGAGCCCTGGAATCTCATCTGAGAACATCTCTCAGAAGGTGATGGGGTGGGGTGGGGTGGTGGAAGAACCCTAGCCTCCTCCCTTTGGCCATCTTGACCCTCGACCTCTGAGTACTTTAAAAACCAGGATTGATGTGTTCATTTATTTATTTTTTGAGACACTGTCTCATATAGCCTAGGCTGGCCTGGAACTCGTTATGTAGCCAAAGACGGCCTTAATCTGCTGATCCTCCGGTCTCTACCTCCCACCCTGCTTGGTTTATGTGGTGCTGTGGACAGAACCTTGGGGCGCCTCAATACCACGCAAGCAGTCTACCAACTGAACTACATCCCCAGCCCTAAAACCCAGTACTGTAAGTACCACCCAGCCTCCGCGCCACCCAGTGTCCTTCGATGACCACAACCCCCGGTGCCCCACCCCCGACCCCAGACTTACCTGGGGCCCATGCCCGCCTCCTCTTCCTCCTCCTGCTGGGCCATGTATCCCAGCAGCATCCTCCTTAAGCCCTGGTCCCGGCTCACGGTGGCTCCTATAGCCAGACCCCCAGACTTCACCACGGCCCGGCAAAGGAAAGTGGGGGCCTGGAGGCGGCCCCGAGGCCTGAGGGGCTCCGCGCCTCGGCAGTCCACAGCCTCTCACGGGTTGAGCCACCTTCACTTGTACAGGGAAAGCAGGACCGGCGGGCGTGCTGGCCGTAGCGTAGGAGGCTGGGGTCGGTCCGCCATAAGGGGATGCTGGGAGCATAGGGCTTGGACCGGCACCTCCACTGGGCTTCAGAGAGCCTGCGCGGTAAGCGTGGGGTGGAGGGGCCTCAAAAGCCTGGGGAGACAAGGGGTGCAGAAACACTGAGTAGGACCAGATCCGACGTCCATGCACGCCCAGGTGGGAACCCCAGGGAAGCAATGATTGCTGACAAGTTCCCACGGGGCAAGGCCTGCACGAGCTAGGTGTTCATCAGTTGCAAAGAGGGTAGGTTAGGTCGGGGAGTGGAACGGGTGGCTTGAGGCTGAGCATCCACAGAAGGGAACTGGCTGGCTGGGGAATGGGAAGCAGACACAGGACACAGACCTGTCGGTCTGGTCGCCGAGGAGGAGGATGACTGCGACCCCCGTCCAGATCAGCCAACATGCTGGTAAGTGAGTCTATCTCAGCATCCAGGCTTCCAGGGCGGATGACGCCCCTGTCTGGCGGGAGCCCCTGGAGACAGAGCCAGAGCAGGGAGAATACATACAGAGCACAAGCCCCGGGCTCCCCTCGCCTTCACCCCGACGAGGAGACCCACACCTACCCTCACCTCCAGCACTCACCTGCAGGCGCTGGGGTGCTCCGTGGGATCCCACCCAGGTAGGCCCCCGATCGTCTGGTACCCCCGGAGGCTGGTAACATTGTTCGGGTGGGAGGGGGCAAAAGTTGACCCTGGGGTGGGGCTGGAGTGCTAAAAAAGGGAGGGAAGAGAGGTGGGGAGGGAGAAGGGTACCTCGTGGAGGCTGCCCTTCCCGGGGCGCCTCTCCGAGTCCTTCGCGGACTCGGGGCATCTGGGAGCGGACAGGAGTCAGGGAAGGTTGGAGCAAGGGTAAGAAGGGCCTCTGGCTGGGGGAAGAGGCAGCAGGAAGCGGACAGGCAGGGGGGAAGAGGTGAAGGCGAGCGGCCAGTGGCTCTTCCGCCACCCCGGGGAGTGAGAGAGGAAAACTTACTTGCTCCGTGGGCCGGTGGCGGCCCCAGGGCGCCTCGGGGAAGCGCTCTTCCCTGGGGGACTCTGGAGGGCTCTGGCTGCTTCGGGGGGAGCCAGGTGGGCCCAGACATGGTCTGGAATGGCTACTGCACTCCAGACAGAGGTCAGGGCCGCCACAAGCCCGGAGCCAGGGGCCTCGAGTCCCTTCCTTCCCCTTCGGTCCCACGCCCCGCTTGGGACTCCCGCAAAGAAACTTTTTCTTGGCTTTTTTTTTTTTCCCCTTCCTCCCCAATTTTGGGGACGGCCACGCCCCCTGACGTCACCGCATTCCTGGGGGAGGGTCACGTGGTCCCCTAAACCCTAATCTGCAAACCCTCCTCTCTCTCTCTCTCTCTCTCTCTCTCTCTCTCTCTCTCTCTCCCTCTCTCTCCCTCTCTCCTCTCCCCCTCTCCTCTCCCCTCTCTCTCCCTCCTCTCTTCTCTCTCTCTTTCTCTGTCTCCCTCTCTCTTTTCTCTCTCTCCCCTCTCTCTTTTCTCTCCTCTCCTCTCTCTCTCTCCCCTCTCCTCTCTCTCTCTCTCCTCTCCTCTCTCTCTCTCCCTCCTCTCTCTCTCTCCTCTCCTCTCCTCTCTCTCTCCCCTCTCTCTCTCTCTCTCTCTCCCCTCTCTCTCTCTCCCTCTCTCCCCCCCTCCCGTTAAGAAAGGCCCGCCCTCCTCCGGACCCAACCACAGGGTGGGCTGCAAACCGCTGCGGCCCAGCGACTCTCGCTGTGATCCCTGCTCCAGCTCCGCACGTGGCAGCCCCCCGGCCGGCCGGGACCCTGAAGGTTCTGGTCCCCAACCCCCGTTGCAGATCTCTCCCTTCCCTCCCGCCTCCCCCTGGGCTCCCCACCAGCAGGGCTCCACCAGCCAGCCCGTAGTGTTTTGGTCTTTTATTAATGGTCAGTAGTTAGAAAAATAAAACAAAACACAAACATCGCCACCCAAGGACGTCGGGGAGAGGGAGGCGGTGCGTCTGTGGCCAGGATGGGGACACTGAGGTAGCCTAGAGTCACAGAAGAGACCAGCCCCTCTGGTCAAGGCACCAGTGAAGGAAGCAGAGGCAGGCCAGGGACAGGGCCGCGATGTCCTCCCCTGTACAATGGGGACAGCCACCCGGAATTAGTGTACTATGTCCCCCCATGCAGAGGAGACCATGGTCCCCTCAAAACATCATCGGAAGGGCAGGGTCCGTGGGGGAGGGGGTCCACTGTTCAGAATGGGCCTGGGCCCTCTCCATCCAACGCTGTGTGAGCAGGCATCAGAGATCAGTACAGGTGACCGGAGTGACGCCATGAACGAGAAGGGTGGGACCCAGGTCACGGCTCAGGACTTCCAGCAGCGCCAGGTACCTGGGGTAGCGGGCAGGATCGGCAGGCGGTCGAGGCAGGTAGAGGAAGGTAAGGGCTGTGGTGGGCCCCTCCTCCCCATCCCTTCCTTCAGGCCCCCCAGGGCCGCCTCCTCCTGCTGTGCCTCGGCCCTGCTGGGCACGCACCAGGGCGTTGGCGCTGCAAGCCAGAGCCTCGGCCTCTTCATCTCCGCGACCACCGTTCACAAAGTCCCCTTCCTCCTCCTCGGGCTCCCCGGTCTCGGCTCCTTCACCCCACGGCACCTCTTGCACCTCTGCCCGGATCCTGAGTTGACTCAACAGAGCCCGGAGCCGTCCCTCCGCTGCCCCAGGAGCCTCCCTAGGCCCCAAGCACAGGAAGATCCGGAGCCGGGCACTGTGCCAGGCGGGCACCATGCTTAAGATGGTAGCCATCTGCAGCAGGAAAAGGCCACAGACGTCCACGTAGCCGGGCCCACCCCGGGGCCGCAGCAGGTTCAAGGGCCACACGTCCACGTGATGGAGCTGAGCGCTGCTCCCGGACCCCCGGCTTAGCCGCTCCGGGGGCAGAGCCCCACAAGCCCGGGCGAGGACCACATTCTTGTTCATCTTGAGAGCATCTGCCACCGTGGCCACGTAGTCCTGGGGACTGAGAGCCCGGGGGCTCCCAGGAGCCCGAGGTGGGGGGAACAGCGTGCTCAGGGCCGGCGACCCGCCCTCTCGGGTGCCCTCTGCAGGCTCGGAGAAGGCAGGGTCTGTTAGGAAATGGTCCTGGGGTGGGGCGTCATCGTAGAAACCCAGCACCAACGTGTTGGGCTTCATGCCGCCTAGGGGCAAAAAGAAGGGAGGCAGGAAGGAACAGAAATCAGGCTGAGGGCTGAATTTACACCACATAAAACGCGCCCACTCACACTTAGGTCACCCATGAGGTATGGCATCCCACTTGGCTGGGGCCCTTACAGCAGCCGCATTATACACGCGTTTGCACAATGATTGGGCTTTCTCAAACACTTTCACATGCATTTATTTGGCTATCTCCACGAATAATCTCCCCCACTTTAAATATGTAGATTTCACATTACGAATTTTTTTTTTCTTTTGCGGGGAGCGGTACTGGAGATTAAACCTGATGTTTTACCCATGCTCGGCAATCAACACTGAGCTACATTCCCAGCCTCATTTTAGATTTTGTTTCAGGTTTTGTTTTGGGTTTTTGCTTGCTTGCTTGCTTGCTCTCTTGCATTTATCGTTCTGGGACAGGGTTTCACTATGCAGCCCTGACTGGGCTGCAGCTCACTATGTAGACCAGGCTAGGCACAGACTCAGAAATCCACTTCCTTGTCTCCTGAGTACTGGGAGTAAAGGCATGCGCTTTAGGTTTTTGTTTTTTGAGACAAGCCTAGGACAACCTAGGCCTGCTTGGAACTCTGTGGCAGAAGATGACCTCAAACTCCTGATCTTCCCGCATCCTCCTCCCAAATGCTAGGATTGTAGGTGTTCATCACCACCATCCCATGAAGTTCAGGGAGTGATACGGACCTCAGGGCTTCATGCATGCTAGGTAAGAGCTCTACCACTCAGCTCCAGCTCTGGGTTCTTTTAAGGTTCTTTTAGCGTTAGGGTCGGTTGTTATCCACCAGAGGCTTTAAACAGCTCATCTTCTTCACATTAAGAGAGGCCACTTGAGCCAGCCAGGATGCCCCTCCACCTGTAATCCCAGCAACTGTGAGCCTGAGGCAGGGAGATTGCTACAGTTTCAGGCAGTGTAGCCTATAGAGCTACAGAGTGAGAAACTGTCTAAACCAGAAAACAAATGAGGAAAACCCAGAGACTGAAATCGAACTCTACTGAGGAAAAGAGACTTCTTAGGTAGCTCCGACTAGCTTTGAACTTACAACCCTCCTTGCCTCAGCCTCCAGAGTAGCTGAGGTTACAGCATGCATCACCAGGCCTGAGTGAAATACAATCAGATAGCCTGATCGTTCAAGCCCATGACCGCAGTCACCAGAGAAGCCACAACCCAGGCAGATGGCTGTAGCTTCCTTCCACTACAAAGGTCTCAGGACCGTGATCTGCAGTCTGGTACCCACTAGGAAGCAGAGAGCATCTGGTTGTTCAGCAGAGGCCACATCCTGGAGAAAGCACTCACCTCATTTGAACCTTGTGCCAACGCTGTGAGATAAGTACTGTTTATTCGCCCCTTTTACAGATAAGGAACCACCCTCAGGGCCCACGCAATGAAGTCACTGGACTAAAGAAAGCCTCAGGCCTGGAAGGGCCTGGGCACGGAGGTGACTCTCTCTGTTCACACAAGAGGCCGTTCCCGGACCTACCTAGCTGAGCTTGGACCAACCTCAGTGACCCAAATCTCTTGTCCCAGTGATGCAGTAGAAAAAGCATGGGCCTCTCAATTTCCTGGCCATAGCTGTTGGAGTTCGTTTTGGTTTTTAGTTTTTTGTTTTTTCAAGACAGGATTTCTCTGTGTAACTCTGGCAATCCTGGAACTTGCTCTGTAGACCAGGCTGGCCTAGAACTCACTCACAGAAATCCACCTGCCTCTGCCTCCCGGATGCTAGGAGTAAAGTTGTGTGCCACCACCACCCGACCCTCCACCTTATTTTTGAGACAGAGTCTTAAAGAATCTAGAGCTTGGGCTGGAGAGAGGTTAAGAGCACTGGCTGTTCTTCTAGAGGTCCTGAGTTCAATTCCCAGCAACCACTTGGTGGCTTACAACCATCTGTAATGAGATCTGGTGCCCTCTTCTGTATAAATAAATGAATAGATAAATAATAAATAAATAGAATCTAGAGCTCACTGCCTGGGCCACCCCAGCTGGCCCCTCGGACCTACCTGTCTCCACCTTTCCAGTGCTGGAATTAGATGAGCACAGAGGTGCCTGGCCTTTACATGGTACTGGGGATTGGAACTCGGGTCCTTTCATTTACGCTGTGAGAGCTATACCCGCTACGCCACCTCCCCAGCCCCTTTCTGCTGGAGTCGTCTTCCTCAGGCTAACTGTCACTAGTAAAGTGCTCCGGGGTAAATGCCACTCAGTGATACCCCAAACCTGTTAGCAGGAGGGCACAGCAGCTGACCCAGCAAACCAAACCGATCACCCACCACCCTGGACTATTGCCAGAACCCTGCTTTACACCAAGCAGTGCGAAGTTCAATGCTATTGACCTTTAGCCTGACTGACGGCAGGTGCAGAAGGAGGTGCTTACTCAGATGACAGACACTAGACTTGGGATTGAGGAGGCTGAGCGTGGAGGTGCCTGGAGTGCAAGGCTGGAGGCCTCTCAATATGAGTCACAGAGCTGGAGCTGCCTGGGGGTGCAGGCCTGTAATCCTAGGTGCGTAGGAGGCTGAGGCAAGAGGATCTCAAATTCAAGGTCCTCTTGGGCAACTTAGTGAGACTCTATCTCAAAAAAAAAAAAAAATGGCTGAGATGTAGCTTTAGCTGTAAAGTATCACTAGAATCCCCCAGTGAGGGGCTGGGGTGTGGCTCAGTGGTAGAGCCCCTGCCTAGAATCCCCCAGTGAGGGGCTGGAGGTGTGGCTCAGTGGTAGAGCCCCTGCCTAGAATCCCCCAGTGAGGGGCTGGGGGGTAGCTCAGTGGTAGAGCCCCTGCCTAGAATCCCCAGTGAGGGGCTGGGGTGTGGCTCAGGGGTAGAGCACCTGCCTAGAATCCCCCAGTGAGGGGCTGGGGTGTGGTTTATCAGTAGACCACTTGCCTAACTCAAGCAAAGCCCTAACTTCAAACCTGTGTGTGTGTGTGTGTGTGTGTGTGTGTGTGTGTGTGTGTGTGTGTGTGATGGACAGGAAGAGTCACAGAGCTAGCAATATTCTATTTTATCTGAAATCATCACTCCCATCACCCTCTAGTACCCTTTGTGGCCTAGAGACCCCATCCTGCTCCTTTCTGCCACCTCGATTGCTCGTTTGTTGGTGGTAGGGTCTGCTGTAAAGCGAAGTCTGACCTAGAACTCTTGCCTCAGAATCCCAAGCACTAGGGCTGCAGGCGTGAACCATCACCCTGGCTTCCCCATTACAGAGCCTTTTCAGGCCAGGCTCAGGTAGCATCTAGCCAGGAAACCTTTGCTGCCCACATCAGTTTTCGGTGGTCTCGCTTTCTCTGAATTCTGGCGGTTAACAACCATCTGCTTTAACTGTGGCAACACCACCCCAGCCTCACTGGATCTCAGACACTAAGCAGGATTAAGCCCAGTTAGTATTTAGATGGAAGAAACTCTGTTTTAATGGCGCTGTCTAAAACCCAAAACATTTTTTCAACTCTTTGGAAAAATACTCTCCAGAGCCCTAATACTCTCTAATGTTTGCCTCAGAAAAAAGAAAGAGCCGAGGATGTGGCTCAGTTTATAGAGGTCTTATCTAGCAGGTACAAAAAGCCCTGCGTTCCATCCCCAGCACCCCGTAAAGTGGGCATGGTGCTGCATGCCTGTGATCCCGAGCAAGAGGATCAGTAGGTCAAGGTCACCCTCAGCTACAGAGTGAGTTCCCAGCCAGCCTGAGCTCCGCTGGACCCTGTCTTTAAAAAATCCAGGGCCAGCGAGACGGATCAGTGAGTTGGGGTGTTTGTGGTCAATTCTGATAATCTGTGATAAATTCCCAGGACTCACATGGTAGATGGAGAGAACTGACTCCTGAAAGCTGTCTTCTGACCTCCGCACATGCACTGTGGCATGCTTATACACACATGCACACACACACACACACACACACACACACACACACACACACACACACATGATTTTTTTTAAGCCAACCACAGACATCATGCCCTGTCTATGACACGTCTCCAATTAGACACTGTGGTCACTGTTAGACAGTCTGCTTCTGTTATCTTTGGCTACGGTCTTATCTGCTCTGTATGATGAGTTCCTTTTGCGAACTACGGTCTAGTCGATTCCCTGGAGGAAGCGGGCAGAGATGGAAAGGGGCCGCTGAGGGGGCCTGAAGACATCGAGGCAGGGGAAGCTCACCGAGGCCAGAGATCCGCAGTAGATGCTGAGCGCCCTGGCGCACAGAGGGTGACAGAGTGAGGTCCACAAAGGCCTTCACTTGGGCAAGGTCCACCAGGCTCAGCCACGCGCCATACTGCGGCTGTACCGGGTCTGAGGGTAGAGAGTCTGCAGAGCAAGTAAAGGGAGAAGGTGGGGTCAGGGGGACACCTGACCGCACACTCAGGGGACTAGGGCAGGAAGACGACAAGTTCAAGGCCCGCTGGACTACGTCGGGGAGAACCTACCTCACAAAAACAAGGGCTGGCAATATAGGTCAGTAGTGAAGTGTTTGCCCAGCTTGAGCAAGGGACTGGGTTCAATCCTCAGCAGTTCACAAACAGGAGAGAGACAGAGACAGAGACAGAGAGACAGGGGTGGGGAAGGAGCAGCTATTGACCAAGCTCAATTAATCCTTACTAGAGCTGGGTGGTAGAGCATCTGCCTAGAATCCCCCAGTGAGGGGCTGGGGTGTGGCTCAGTGGTAGAGCCCCTGCCTAGAATCCCCCAGTGAGGGGCTGGGGTGTGGCTCAGTGGTAG